TGATCGTATGTTTTCTGGGGGTAGTCAAGTGAAGGTAGCTCTGAATATGTGCATGGTTGCGCTCAGGCATCCCTGCTGCAGTATGGACTCTTCTTAGTTTTTCTCTTACTTATGCATCAAGGAAGACATTTACATCTCAAGGAGATATTGCTTGTGATATTTATCTTGAACCTGTATTTTTTGTTTCTAGGTGTCATTTTCTGTTTATTCATACTCTAAAAAAATATTGTTAGAGGTCTAGGGATACAAAATTCCTAAAATATCAGCATCAGTGAAGTAAGTGCAACTCAGAGTAGTCATTTACATTATTTTTCTTTAGTAGTCTGATTTTGGTTGAGAAATGAACTGGCTGCTTAAAAATATATTGATGGATTCACTAAAGCCATCTGATTTTTGTCAATAGAATTTAGGAGTAGGACATCTTTTTTTTAATTTCTCCAACAATCTTCACCTTTGAACTAGGTCTTCCATATGGACAAGTCTGGCTTTAGGGAAACTCTGGAAGTGAAGAAGAAATGTAATTATCTGATTTTACCCGGTGATCTCTCATTACATGGTGAATGCAAAGCCTCCACCTGAGACAGGGACTGTGGCAGAAGCTTGTTTGCCTCAGAGAATTTTCAGCTTATACTTCTGACTCTCTAGCAACTGTTCCTCTTCTTGGAATAAGAACTTAGTTCTTTGTCCCCACATGTTTCAGTAATGTCATTTGGAAAATTTCCACAGGCCTGTATTACTTTTTTTTTTTTTTTTTTCCCTTGGCCTACTGACCAGTGACACATAACTCATTTAAAAAAGAAAACATACACTTGAAAGCAGCTGAGAAAGTCCTGTCAGGCAGGATTGGGTCTCAGAAATGCTCTTGCTGTTTTCCTTGAACTTTTTTAAGGAACAATGTGGTTTGTGATGAAGCTGCCATAAAATAATTGGATTGTAGTGGCATATATTGCGTGCGATGATGTCTGCCTCTATCCTAAGAAATGAGATTGTCAGAGCAAGTGCATACCTTGATCCCTTCCTCGTGCAGAATGCTAGGGTTAAGTATATAAATGGGAAGAAAAATATAGTTTATAGGAAAAACTAGTTCTGAGTTATTTTGTTGTGCTCACTGAACAGGCTTGAACTGAAAATTCTTTCTTCATGTTTTCCAGTACAAATAACTCTTTTCTGTGAATCTCACTTAATTGGCCTGGTATTCACAATGCTGGATCATGGTGAGGGCAGGAGAGATTAAGGCCCATGTGCTTACTTTCTACTTGATATTTCAGTCCTTGATTGGGAAAGGCATTTGTTAGTGCATTTTTTTTGACAAAGACTGCTTGCTATTTTCCAAGTACACATTCAGCATCACTTCTACTGACACCCACCTCCGCATGCTTGAGTATTTAATGGTTTACAATTAGCATGCCATCTTGTGACTTCAGAACCCATGAGAGGTAAAATGAATATTTATCATTTTAAAATCACCACGAGTTTAACCAGCAAAATAATGCAGGTACTACACTTCCCTTTTGTTTGATTTTTTTCACTGGTAGAACCATTGTGATAGAAGCACAAAGGAAAGAAAAAGCCTATTGATCCAGCATACTGACAGTATCTTGGAAATCTACCTTTTTCCACAAACATGCCTCCTCAGTGATAATGTGTTTGCCGTAAACCGTGTTATAAAGAGCACCTGTAAGCAAGGCAAATCTAGCACTGAACAGTTTAATTTTTTATCACATCACAATGCAGAAAACTAAACAATGTGTTGTTGTAGACCAGGCCTGGTTATGTCCCACTTTTAAAAACACAAGAATTATGAGCTGGAAAGAGTTGTGAAGAGTGGGGGGAAAGAGCCATAGTTTTAGTGTCTGCTCTAAACCCAATTTCCAGCTTTCATCTCTGCTCTCCTTCTCTTCATAGTTCATCACCTGAGTCCTGTGTCCCTAGGGATATCATACCTGATAGCTACTAAAAAGAAGACAAACAGATTTTAATTATCACTGATGCAACATTATTCATATTTGTGTGTTTGTATTTCTCAATTATTTTGGAGGAAAAGCCACCCTTTCTGCAGTTTTCTGTCTCCTACAAATCCTATTCTTAGGTACTCTTCTCCCTCCATCTCTGGGCATCTAGAAAGGTCTGTGGCAGCAAGGTGCCTAGAGGCAAGACACTGTAATGTTGTGAGCATCTTTGTGGATCTAGCATTTCATCATTAGCTGGAAATTAATATCATTTGTTTGAGCAACAGCTGTATAGTGTAGCATATAGATACAAGAGTACGCAAAGTATTTTTTGTGTCAGGAGATAGCTTGCAGATTTCGCTATAAATGTAGCAATAAGGTTGAAGTGCATTTTATTTTCTTCCTGTTAGTACTTAACACATTCTTCAGTGTAGAGATCCTAAGATGTGCAGCACAGTCATGATTAAACTTGCTGCTGCAATGATGGAATGGTGTTTCTTCTACACCATTTTGACTGAAAATAGTTTTTTGTATACTGCAGTTTTTCATTGTTGAAATCCACTCCAGAAAAATTGTAGATGGCAGTATATTGTATATTATATACATGCATTTTGTAATATTTGCATTTCATGTGGAGAGAATATTTTTTCCTAAGGGCCATTGCATGAATAGAAATGGTTGAAAAATGTGCTTTCAAAATTTATGAGGTAACAAATTATTCCCTTATGTCATTTTTTTTAGGAACTATTTTGCTTTTTGTGCCTGAATGACTTTGGGGACAGTCAAGAACTTACTGTTGTTTTTCAGATTTTTCTTAACAGTGAAGTGCAATTACTTAAACCTATAGTGTGTCTGTTGAATATTTCTCTTACATTTCATGCCAAGGTGTTCAGCCCTGTTACCACAGAAAGAGGTTACAGTAAAAGATCCATTTAGAATATATGTATGCTAAAACTTTTTATAATGCCATGTCCATCTCTTCATTAATGGACTGTCAAAAACACATGGTGAGTATGAGGGTCACTACTGGCAAATTAGCTGTCCCGCATGGGGAGACAGGCTGTTCATTAAAATGAGGAAAAAAGTGTTGTCAGAAAAAGGAACAATGAACCAATTTAAAGCAGATAAGAATAATTTTTAAAATATATATATCACAATGTTATTCATAAATAAATGAATACAATTTTTGTAAAAAGGCAGGTATTTGCATATGTTTTGCCTTCATGTGAAGGTAAAAGGAAAAAACAGGATAAATCTATATGTTGGTTTCCATTTCCCAATCTGATAAATAATCAAAAAGGTGATATTTTTGTCTTTGACTAAAACTGGCAGATTCCAATTAAAAATCGTTATTTTGAAAATGACTGTTAATAATTCCAGGCCTTATTTATGCCATTTTTAGACTTGATTCCATTGTAATCTGCCTGTAAAAAGAACTATTGAGATGGAGTGCAAAGAACTATTGAAATGGATGGGATTCTGCAAAGGCAGAACAGATTGTGGTAATGAATCCAGACATTTTATAAAATGTTACATTTGAGTAAAAGAAGTAAAAAAAAAACATAAATACCTTTGTTTTGTTTGTTTGGTAAACATTAAATACATTTATTTTAATAAAGCTAACACAAGAAACCTCTAGGAATTTCTTCGAGAAGCTGTACATCCCATGCTGCATGTGTTTGAGACACTGTTGTGTGGGAATTTTTGGAAAGGCTCCCCATACACAATACAGGCAACTATCTAAAATTAAGTTTTCTAATTACATATATGTCCAGAATATCAGAATAATGACAGAAAATAACCATTAGTGTTCATTACAAATATAATAGATCTTTTAAGGTGCATTTTTATTCTTAAACACACTGAAAGCAATCTTTATTGTGAAACTATAGAGATGTAAAGAAGCAAAATCTGTCCTTTGGCTTGCTTTAGTCTAGTAACATGTTGTTGTCTTTTGTTGGAAACAAACATTTCCTTGCTTTCTTAATTTTCTGATTTTGTTAATGATTAACTTTTCTACAATATACTGTTATTTTGCAAATAACAACAGGCACCAGCAATATTGGTGGGAGTTAGATAAACTAGTGAGAATATGGGCATTTTTTTTTAAGGAAAAATAACTAAAATAAATGAACCAGCAAACATAAACCCTGAAACCCTGAGTGTGGAATGGGAAGTTGGTGCCAGTCTGGACTCAGTGTTTCATAAACCAGGCTCTCAGTGAATGTCTTTCCACATCTGCTCATACATATTCACAGACCTCTGCTCTATCTGGAGTTTCTTTTGCAATGGTGTATAAATATGATTGGAAATTATTGAGCTGCTATAGAAAGCTGTGCCCTTTTGCAGGACAGGTAAAACGTAAGGATTTCAATTAGTTCCTTCCTCCTTCTGTCAGGAAGAGTTATAAATATCATATTTGAGTTTCTATTCATTTACTGATTAGTAATTTAGAATTTTAAATGACAACCCCAAATCTCTTAAATAATTAAAGCACCTTAATTAAGAATGTCACAATAACAATTTGAGGAGATCTGTATGTATTTGTTCATAAAAGAAAATTTTCATTTCTCCACTTAAGTTCTGTAAGCACAGCATTTATTGTTATCCATATGCTCACTGTGGAAAAAGCAGAGGTGTACGTTAATACTTGACCCTAAGAGCCATGTTATGAATGCAAGATAACTCTAGCTCCAAGGATGAATGTAATCCTGTGACATACTTAGGTTCTCCACAGCCATAAATTGTGGTAAGCTTGTGGAACTCTGTCCCGCTGAACCAATATATCGTGCTCAAGAATCTGGCTCAGATGATGTTTTAATTTATTTTTATAAAATAAAAATCAAAAATAACTATTTTGTGATCTTGAATACACTATTACGTGCATAGGCTTGTATAGTGCATATTTCAAAGTGCATAGATAAGGCAACTTCTGGCTAAGCTGCCTTTTTCTCAGATTAAATCTTCCTTCTTCAACTATCTGCTTAGCTATGCTTTATTTAAGGTGTGGATATTTAAACTGGTGAAATTTGGATTTCTTTTTTTCCTCAGGAGGTGTTTGTATTGCTCAGTCGCTCAAAATCCCTCGGGAACCAAGACCAGGAGAATTTGACAAGATCATCAAGCGCCTGTTGGAAACTCCAAATGCTCGAGCAGTGATCATGTTTGCGAATGAAGATGATATTAGGTGCTTTTTTCTTAATTCTGTATGTCAGAGATGTTTCTTCTTCACAGAGATTTCACAGAATTTGATGGTAAACAATGCTGTACACAGAAGATTTCAGACTCAATTCAAAGTTAAAAGTTCTCAGTAAGAAATTCAGTTGCAGTTACATACTGCTGCTGTTTGCTCCCAGGAGGTCTGATAGCTTTTTAGTTCCTAAGAATGAAGCTCAAGTAGATTGCTATTCAGTGACTGAAAAGAAAGAAACCAGTAAGAATGCTAGACAAATATGGCTAATGATGAATCAAATAATTAACATTTATAGTAGTGGAGCTTGAATTCTCTATGCCTGTTGTTGAATATGCTGTAGACTGTAAAAACTATTGGCCAGTTGATTAGTCTGATCATACTTACATGTATCCAATCCAGAATTACTACTTCAGTATTACTTCAGAGGGATTCTAATCAGAAAGTTATTTGTAAATGCAGTTTATTTAATCAACTTTTATTTTTATTTTTGTTTTTTTACAGGCGGATACTAGAGGCAGCAAAAAAAGCTAATCAGTCTGGACACTTCCTTTGGATTGGATCAGATAGTTGGGGGTCAAAAATTTCACCAGTGCAGCAGCAGGAAGAGATTGCAGAAGGAGCCGTAACCATTCTGCCCAAAAGAGCCTCAATTGATGGTAGGAATGCACGTGACACAAAAGACTGGTTTTCTGATTATGTTCAGACATTCTAGCCCCTTTACAAAAAACAGAAAGAAAAAAATAAAAGTGAGTTCACAGAAAGCTATGCGTCTAAGAGCTTGAAGCATATGGCTCAATCCAATGAGCCATGTCTCTGTTTGTATCTTTTCAGACAGGATTAGGTCTTTGAGTTCAGTGCACGTGTTCTTGGGAGGTAGTCATGATTTGTAGGCTTGGATTCCTCTGGGTCTGAAGCTTAATCCAATCAAGAATTTAAGTTTTGTATCTTTTACCTTTTAACTTTTTGCCCTCACAGCAGAATTCAACCACCTGAGTTAGACTTCTAGCTTCGTGTTCGGGATAGGGTTAGAATTAAATCTCTCTAGGTTGTAATAACGTCTGAATGATAAGGAGGAAACACCTAGTTAAAAAAATAAACTGAATTGAAGAGACTGTCTGAAGTCTATCCCTCCTTTGGAGATCTGCAGAGCTCTGACATGCATAAGGATGTTTCCATTCATTCAGGAACAGGTCCTGGAGTTTTCCCAGAAAAGGAAGAGCAATTGTTTCATTAAAGTAGTGAGCAGGTCTCCTTGTTTAGTAATTTTTTGTTTTTTCTTAATATAGATACAAGATAAGGAAATGATGAATTTGCAATAAGACAATCTTATGGTTATCTAATAATTAGAGCATGTATGAAAGAGATGACTGACACTGAGAAGAGTTTCTTACCCCACAGCGTGGTGGTTCTCTGGGGCAAAAAGGGACGACGCTAGATGGATGATATGAGTTAGCTAATTCTTCTGGGAATAGATGCATCTAGGTTCTACTTTCTGCTCCCTAAACTGTTAATATATCTTACTTTAAGAAGCCACAATATTAATGTAGTTTATGACTTGACATATAAGACACTCTTCTAGCAAGTGGAATTTCTTGGATTGAACCGCCTCATTCCCAAGAGTGTACAGAGTAATTCTTCCTGGTGTTTGTGTTAAGTGCTCTAAAATGTTAAATCGTGAGAAATACTGAGCACTGTTGATGTTACTTGGAGAAGTTGGCCCCCAAAAACATTTTGTGAAGTGCTTAATCCCAATGGAATGTGTTGGACACAGTTTCATCATGATAAATGGACTGTAGGAGTAAGGAGGGGGGTGCAACTCCTGCTTCTTAGGATCTTAGGCTTTAACAGGAAACTTCTGATTAGATTTTAACAGGAACCTTTAGTTTCTCAGTTGGCATTATTAAGGGTATAAATGGAAGCAGAATTTAAGGTATCTCAGGAGCCTCAGATCTGACAGAGAGGTACCCAATGACTTTAATGTGTCCATGAAATGCAGTTTATTTGGATCACAGTCTTTGACTAAGTCGTGATTAAAATTTTACTAATTTTTTGTAGGCAAGTAAATCTTAATTTGGATCTAGCCCATTGTGTTAAAAATTAAGGTCTTTCAGCATCTGTCTAGCTGTCTGCATTGCCTTTTTTACATTATGGATTTCTCTTCAAGCTTTAGATTCTTTTAATTGCTGTAGCTATTTAAAAACTTTATTTATTACAAATCCTTAAAAAATTATAAATCATCATAATAATAAGGTGTAAATCCTTAATTACTATATGCACTTAAAATGTTTAAAATAATTTGTACTTAAGACTTTTTTCTTGTTATGGAATCTGTGCAGAATCCATGGTTGGTTTTAAATGGCAGTCTTTTTGCTGTATCATATACCAACGCTTTTTTTTTTTTCTCACTTCTCTTTAATGTAGGATTTGATAGATATTTTCGGAGCAGAACACTTGCTAACAATCGAAGAAATGTATGGTTTGCAGAATTTTGGGAAGAGAACTTTGGCTGCAAGTTAGGATCACATGGAAAAAGAAACAGCAATATCAAGAAATGCACAGGTAATTCGGAAAAGAAAACATTAACTTCAAACTGTTTATTGGAGTGCAGGAAACAAAATGATTTCTGCTAATGATTTTTCTGACTCTCTTCAATGTTCCTTTTCATCTCCCTCAATCATCCGATGTAAATTATATTTTAGTAAGAAAAATGTAACATTTCCTTCAAACCTGAGAGAAAAAACTCATAGGTATTATCTGAGAAATTAGTAGTTGATTTGTACACATCCAACAATGGCACAGGTACAAATGTAGCATGTGGTTCAGTTTCCTTCCTGTTTCAGTGACCTTGTCTCTCATCCCATGCAGAGTTGTCTATATGTATTTTTTAATGAAGGATACCTGACAGCAATTCTTAATTTCTCTTGAAGCTATTGAGGTCTTGATGCTAGGTCAAATCATGAACTCCTCATTTAATTTAAGATCTAAGGCTGCAGGGAAAAGCAAATCGGTACGTCCTTATTATCTGTCCTTCTGTAAAAAGAACAGGTTTGTACATTGTGTTATAAATCTGAAAGAGTCTATAAAGTTTGAACAACAACAACATTTAAACATTCACTTAATTGCCACCATCACTACCTGCAGTAGCTGGTATGTACCATTCTTGCTGTGATAGGTGACAGCAACAATACACCTACAATATGTTGTCCTATTTCTCAATGTCTTCAGACTGTTTGGTTACACTAGCATGCAGTCTGTGTTACAGGGATGCCCTTCCAAACTTTCTGAAGACACAAACTGTTCAACCTGCACTCTGTTTTTTCCAGGAATGTCAGACAAGCATATCATGCAGTCTCCAAACACATACACCAAAAATCCTCCACTTCCTGAACCAGCAGATTTATTGTATATATGAAGTGCCATTGATTCAAAGTCGTGCTTCACAGAGCACACATATCTCATACCGAAATACAGAAACCATACACACACTCTCTCATTTCCCAAATCGGACAACAATCCTTTCTTCTACATTTTAAGGTCTGCCTTTTACCATATACTATGCTTCTGCCAACGAGGATGAAATTCTGTGCCTCAGTGACCTATATCATAGCTCATCACTCTAATCCTCTAGTCCTTGGTGTTGATTCATAGAGTAGTAAATCATGACTGGGTGGTTATCTGTACTTGGAAAGGGATTTTTTTTCTTTGCTATTTTAAAAAACTATGGATTTTTTTTTTTTATCGAAGGCTTTCAGTTAGCGTACATGCCATAGTTTGGGATTCTCTAAATGCTACCAGAGATGGTTGTCTGACTTGCCTCAGCTCATCATATTTGTCAATTGGAACTGCCAAAAATAAAAGTTAATCATTAAAACTCATAGGCTGTATCTTGGTAGATTCAAAGTTATTTGTAATTTGAAACTGGTAGCGGTATATTTTTTGAATTAAAAATATGTTATATTCTCTGTGCCAGAAAATAGGAAGAAATCATATCTTCTACACTTAGAAAGTGAGCATAATAACAGGAGATGGTAATAAGAAGTGGGAAAGAAGTTTTGAAGGTTGCCCATGTATTATCACCTGCATAGAAAAAGCTATGAATTCTGCCGAAGAAAAAAGATACCAGTGAGTGATAGTACCCTTGGCTAAGGCCACTTAAAGTTAGCTTACTGCAATAGAATGGAAAAGATGCTTGGTCTTCAGCAGACTTAAAATGAGCCAATGATTTAGAATGATTGCTATACTTGTCTAATTCATACTTAAAGGTTGGGATAGCAAAAATACTCCAAGCATGTTGTTTTTAAGTAAAAATAATCAAGATATCAGGGTGGAACCTGTTGTTTAAGCAGAAACACCTAGTGGAGAATGGTGATTGACTCCTGCATCTAGATCTAGATGCAGCGATGGCATCTTGACCCATCCCATTTCAGGCATCATGGTCTTCCATGCACAACAGAGTGGAGCTGTGAAAATCAGAATCTTGCATAGTTCTTCATACCAAAGCCCCCAAAGAAGATGAGTCAGTCTAATATGATCTTCTACATTCCCTCAATATTAAAAAATAAAATATCTTATACATGAATTCATCTTATCCTTCAAAAGACAAAAGATATATCAACAATACATCATGGACAATTCTGCTTGGATGTAATGGTTAAATGAAAAAAAAATAAAGACTAAAAAAAGTTTGTAAATGGATTGGAGTTACTTAAATTTAACTAAAGAGATTAAGCAGATTATCAAAAGCTTTGACCCTTGCCTTATGCCATTTTCAATTTGTCCTTCCAGTGGATTTTCCCTGAAACTTCTAGTGACTTTCTCAGCTATACATTTCTGCTAAACTCTTAAAAGGAATATATTCCCATCTTTATTTCAGAACTTGAGAGTTGAACTCAGAAATCAGTTTTCCCATATTTTGTCCAGGTACTTCAGATAATAAGATTCTGCCTAATTTGTTAATTTGTACATCATTCCAATGTTCAGGAATACTGTAAAAGAAACCCAAGAACTCTCCTTCTCTGAAAGCAAGTGGTTAGGTATAAAGTTTTCTTTAACTTTCAGATGGATTTTGTTACACATTTCTTTTTATTTTAGCTAAGATCTCATTTTTCTGATACAGCATTTGTATTTCCCAATAATGACAAAATCAATCAATATGCCTGGTTTCTATTTAGTCCAGCTATAAATTCATAGATTTAATTTTTTACTGCCTGTATTCAAAATGCTTCCAATCTAATCTAATTTTCAGGCCTTTTTCCTATAAAGATACTAGAAAATGCTTCATAGTAGTGAAGAGTATTTCTTTCTTTACCATCTGAAATCAACAGATATTCTACCATTGATGTTTACAGAAAGCAATAATTCTTCTAAACTTTGAAAAAATAATTGCTACTCTTTATTTGCTGTGGACTCTATGTGTTTCTGAATGCCAGTTTATATTGATTAAATCATCAGGATAAGAGTAGTGCATTGAAAATTTCAGAGCTTTTTGTCCCAACCTTCTGGAATAGAAAAAAAAAAAAGCTTCATTAACTTAGTAAAGATGAAACAATAATTCCATCACTGTCCTTCCACTATCCTGAGGTTACAGGAAGCCTCATTTTACATACTTATTCAAAGTCCTTTCTCAACCCTATAAAAATATCTTTAGTTAGACATGAACCTTTCAGTGATGTTCAACAGCTGTTGTTGCATTGAAACTTTTTGTTGTTGTTGTTTATGGGAATGAGAAGTGAGGAGATGGTAAGCTTTTTGCTCATCCTTGAAACCCATAGAAAATTTTAAACGTAGAGGGACCATTCATCCTTTTGTTACCTCTATCTTTCAAGAGAAATAAATGGCTTGCACAGTGATTGCAAAAGGTGGTAAAGAGAGTAGGCCCCTTGCTGCACTTCAAGTTTAATATCTTGGAGAATTTTCCCATATCTCAGCTTCCCATTTGGGTCAACTGGTGGGTCAAATTTTACGTAGCTTAAGATTCAGAATTATTTAGAAACTGACCAGCTTGACCAACTTTATTCCTGGTGTTTTGTTACTAACTCCAGCTCATGGGTGTTGAGTTATTAATTGACAGTCTCAGTTTGATTTTCTATACCATATTTTAAGAAATATACAAAAAATATTAATAGAAAAATCTGAACATTAACCCAGAATATCTCAGAGTATTATTTGAAAAGTTTCTTTGAATTGTTGGACTGGCAATCAACTGCATCACTCTTTGGGAAGAGGCTAATTACAGAGAAAGCAAAGCAATTTTAATGGTTATAGAATAAAAGTTAAGGGAGCAAGGTTAAATGAAATGTACTCAGATTTGTTCCTGTTAACATTTGATTCCAGTCTAACTTGAAGTGCTGCAGAAGTCATCTTTAAATATTTGTGTGCTGAGATTTTGTGTAAATTTCTGTCTTAGTATTCCTTCGAGGCATATATTTATTACCATATTTTCAGTCTTTGAACAATAAGATGTGGACCTTTAATAAAAGATCAGGAAAAATGTTAATTGAGAAAGCTCTTTCATACATATCCTTTTACAGTAAGAGAAGTAGTTTCTCCCTCTTTTTTTTTTTTTTAAGGCTAAGATTTTATTTAACTACTCCGCAAATCTAATCAACCTTTAACTGCCTATAATGACTGACTGAACTGCTAAAAATAGAGATGAGAGAAGAATTTCCAAAAGCATCTGTGTAAATTAGTCCAATTTCAATTTTCTCTATCAAAATGGATTATTTGCTTCAGTGAAAAAAAATCTAGTGTAGTATAATAGATATCACATATCTGTGAATTTTACAAGTACATTACTTAAATGTTTTCTCTTAACTAACCTCTTTGAAAATACAATTGCATCTAAAATATTAACAGCAAGAAGCAGATTTACTCGTTGCTGTATTCAGACATATTCTGAGAAATGTTGTTGCAGAACAAATTGAAAAGCTTGCAAGCAGAATGTGAATCTTCCAAAGGCAGGGGAAATTGTTAGCTATTTGACTTCGGTAATAGGTCCATTCCCATAGACCTCTCCTGAAGTATGCTTTTTCTTTTGCAATAAGAGAACTGAATGAAGTTTTAAAAGCAGCATGCACAGTAGACACATTTTGTACAACTTAGTAGTTGTACCATATTTCCCAGATGGTACTAAGAGTCCAGAGGGACTTTATTCTCAAGCACACTGCAGGTCAACACCTGCAGGTTCTTCACTTTACATGACATCCCTCCTGTGACTACAGATTTGGGCCTCAGAGGTAAAAAGGGTAATTATTTCTGTCCTCTTCCTCTGCTGCCTTTGCCATTTTTATGAGTGTCATTTGAAACTTAGCCTATAACCACTTTGCAGAAGAGTAGTTAGTGGTTAAAGATTTTTTATATGTATTTATAAAAATAAAAACAGCAGTAGTCAGATTTGTAACATATTAGGCATGAGCAAAGTCGACCCCTTACATTTGCTACCCATCTCATCACTTTGACACAAAAGACTTTGAGGACTGTTTGTTGCATTTATATTTTTCTTATTCTCCTTTGGACATTATCTCAGAATTTCAAAAATCGTGTGTTTTGGGAAGCTGTAC